GGCCATGTTGGATTTCTGATGGACATGAAAAATAACAATATTTTGTCAGGACCACGAGTCGTTCATTCCTAAAAGGTTTCAGTTAAATCGGTCCGTTAGAACTAGACTTTAAGTTTGAAATAAAAAAATAATTAAATGGCGGCATTGGCGGCCATATTTTATTTCGTATCGACCCGAAAAAATAACAATATTTTGTCAGGACCACGAGTCGTTCATTCCTAAAAGGTTTCAGTTAAATCGGTCCGTTAGAACTTGACTTTAAGTTTGAAATAGTTTTTTTTTTAAATGGCGGCATTGGCGGCCATATTTTATTTCGTATCGACCCGAAAAAATAACAACACTTTGTCAGGACCACGAGTCGTTCATTCCTTAAAGGTTTCAGTTAAATCGGCCCATTAGAACTTGACTTTGTTTGAAATAATTTTTTTCCAAAATGGCTTCATTGGCGGCCATATTGGACTTCTGAGCGACCTTAAAAATAACAAAACTTGGTCAGGGAGATGTCAGAAACATTCCCAGGAAATATAAATAAAATCCATTTGACAGTATTTCAGCTTAAGTTGAAAATGTCAAATGTTAACCGACGACGCACGATAAGGGACGAAGACGGATAGCTATAGGTCACTTGAGCTAAAGCTCAGGTGCCCTAAACAGAGATTTCTGTATTGTGGCAGCCATATTTGTCTTCTAATCAATGCAAAACTAGTGAAAAGGAAGAGTGACTTATACAAATTCTTGAGAAATACCTATAACATATTTGAGCTGTCAAATTATAAAGGGCTGTCTGACAGCCATATTTTTTTTCAATCCGCCTCAAAATGAAACATGTATAACTAAGGACATATGGGAACCTACATATAAAATTTGAGAAATAACTGTCATATACTTTCGGAGGGAAGAAAGCAATTACAAACTTCAACTGTCAAAATTCAAGATTGCTGCATGATGGCCATCTTGTTTTTTATCAGTCAAAATGAAACATACAATACCACAGACCAAGGGAAACCTTCATGTGAAATTTAAGCTAGATCTGTAGATCTGTTAATTAGTCATCAAAAAATAGAGGTAACATGAATTGTTTCAGGACAGACCACACACAAAGGACGACCTGAACAGCCAAATATGTCATAATGGTGGGCAAAAAAATAGTACCTTAGCATCAGCTGGTTTGTTAAAATTTTTGTGTTACAAGAAATTCAACCAAAATCTCAAAGTATGTTTGGCTGTTTTTGATGAAAATGTGGCACAGCCTACTGGACTTAATCCAGTCCAGAAACTAGAGTTATACAGATGTACCTTGTTCTATGTATGTTCCGTCGGGTGTAGGCAGTCGTGTGGGTCCAGTTACAGCATGGTAGTGCTGGATCAGAATGTATATGATGAGGTTTGCATTTGGATTTTTTCTCTTTAAAGTTGTCTGTGCATGCGAAGTAGGTTTTTGTTTCATTATAAGTTTAAAGAAACAAGAGGCCCAAGGGCCTTAGCGGTCACCTGAGTTATATCATGGGTACTGGTAGCTTTATTTTATTGTTTAGATGTGATGTGGAAATCAGCATGTAAACTAAGTGAAATACAATGCTTGTCATGTCATCAAAGGATAAAAATTTGAAAATATTGGTAAATGTTCCCTTTGGGGCCCCACCCTAGCCCCTGGGGATGGGGCAGGAATCCCAATTTTACAATTGTAATAGCCTCATTCACCAAAGATGATTCTGACTAAGTTTGAGTAATTTTCTGCTGAAAATGGATAAAATATACCCAAAAGTATTATTTCCCTATATAAACTAGCTATAGTAACTTTACCCCCCTCCCCAAAGGAGAACGGATAGCTTGGGGGTTCTGAAATTTACAATTTAAATAAAGCCCCTGATGATCTTTCTTTTCATGCAGAGAAAATGAATGTAGTACCTCTGAGTCTGGAGAAGAGTTTTGAAATATTGGTTAATTTTCCCTTTGGGGTCCTGCTCTGGCCCCAGGGGTTGGGGTAGGAATCCCAATTATACAATTGTGTAGCCTCATCTACCATGGACAATTCTGACCAAGTGTGAAAAAAATACATCCACTGATTTTTGAGAAGAAGTTGAAAATGTAAAATGTTTACGCACGACGACGGACGGAAAGTGATTAGAATAGGTCACTTGAGCAAAGCTCAGGTGATCTAAACATGTGTTGCAAACTAATTTCAGTTCTGATACAGATGCATATTTATCAGTACAGCATATATAAATGTTACAGTACAACCCATCAAGATAATATTAATATCATAACTAGTTTTAATAAATGAAAACTAAAACTCAAGTATCAAATCATATGTTTTATTTTATGTTGTGTGAAGTGAATAAAATATTTATAAATAAGCACATTTGTTTGAACATATCCCCAGATTCTTATTGCAAAATTTTAATGAAGGCCCATCTTTTCTCTCTTTCTCTCTCTCTAGTTCTATCACTGCTTCTACAAAAGCTAGAAGTTTCCATTAATCCCACCAAGCCTACAGAATCAATCTGGTACGGTGTGTGAAGGATTATATATGATACACAAACGTATTTCCACCTAACACACATAACAATCACACACATCCCAAAATCTTACACACAGAACCACACACACATGTCCCTTACACACACGCACGTCCCTTACACACAGAACCACACACACGTCCCTTACACACAGATGCCCCTTACACACAGAACCACACACACATGTCCAGAATCATCACAGAATCAACTCATGGAAACGAAACAAATCGATAAAATAAAACCTAAAAAATCTAGTATCTAAAATCTACTTTACATAACTTGTTCCCACAAAACAGATATTTTACAGATTAATAAGACTTTGTTGACAGCCACAGTGGCTGGTGAAGAAATATCACTAAGTGCATAATATATCTATGATAGGCACAGAGGGCCTGTATGGCTCACCGAGATATTCAAGGAGTCATGTTGTTAAAAATAATAGTGCAAATATTTCTCCATTTCGTAGCATAGAGGATGAAAACTCCATCTTTTCATGTAAAGTTTGATTCCCTGGTACCTGATCACAGCAGTGTTGGTTGATATGTGATCAAACATTCTGGAGGCGTGCACTTTTAAAAACACCTTAATTACCCTTTTTTACCATGAAGCGGACAACTGGGCAAATCCTGGCAGCATGATTGAATTCACTAGCACTACTAGCATACCCAGATATCAGGGCCTGGGTATAACTGGGAGCTCAACTATTTCAAAGTTATCACCATGACACTAAGACTCCTGGCTAGGACCCTACCCTGAGGCCAATCCTGAGAGCACATGTATATCCACCCATTTATACTCAGCAATCGTACTTGTGGCTATAAGGTTTGGATAACAATATTTTTATGTGAATACCAAGGCAATTAGTCCCAATGGGCAAGGCCAATCCTGATACCATATTTGTATTTGTCTTTCCAATAATTGTGAAAATGGCTACAGGTTTGGGATTTAAACTGTCCCCGGAACAATTTTGATGGCTTAACAGTGTCAAAATATGTGTGATTTCTATCTCATACCGGTAGTTTCATAGAATTAATATAGCAAAATTACTATCTTTAGTTCCTCAATTTATACAATTTTTTAAAATTCCCATCATCTAAGATTTTTCTAGTCAATTTGGTGAAATCAGTGGGCCAGAAGAAGTAGTCATTTGAATGATGATGTCTGACACCATGGTATGGTATAAGCTCACCCTTGGTCCTTTGAACTAAAACAAAAACCTAAAAGGGCTTTAATAATCACCTGTTTTTTTTTTTGCCTAATTAAATTGTCGAAGAGATGAACAGACTTGCATGAGGTACTACTATTAACCATTTTCAATAATAACTGGAACTATTTTGTGAAGACAAAAAAGGGTTAATATGCGTCACGACACATAATGGTCAAAGGCAGATAGGAAAAGGGCAAGTAACTCATAGATATGTTTAGCTCACATGAGCATATTTATTTTTAGCTAGCATGTGAACAAAAAATATTCATGTACATTAAACATACAATTGAGTTACTTAACCATCAACCAAATTTATGTACGGTGCAAGTGTATGTAGAAATGTACACAGTATAAAGATAACACAGAAACTTGTGTATGGTATACGGATTAAACACAAACATAGATAACACTGCCTGATATCACATAGAAATTCATTCTTAATACACATGTTCCAATTATCCAATATATACAGAAATACATACAATGAATCTATATTCCAATAATTAAGTGATACAGAAATATGATTATGAAATGTACACATTTTCCAGTTATACATAAATACATAGGTGTATAGTTGTTCTAGTATATAAAGATATAAAAGATGCCATTTATATCACCTTCTCTTTCACCATTCACAGCAGCAACAGGTCCTTGTAGCCACAGAGATGGCCATAACATTCTTTTGCAGCTAATGAAACAACAGTTACAGTTCAGCTCGAGATATGATGACAACAGTTTGATGTTACCATAGAGATGATGACAAAAACTTACTGTAGCCACAGAGATGACAGCACCAATTCAGTGTAGATAGAGGTACTGTTGTAAATGTGTTAATACCATTTGATACAATTAGCTCAATTCTCAATGCTATTTTATTGAGATAAAGTCATTACAAGATTGATGACATCTGAACCCTGTGACCTTGCAAATTAATAAATCTAAACAAAATTGATAGTCCTTCATCCCAATACTGGCCAAATATCATCACCTTCAGCTACTTGTTCATTGAGAAGAAGTCAATGAAAGATAAAGAGATTTGACCTGTGACCTTCAGACACTACAGATTTGTACAGCCCCCCTCCCCCCCCC